TGTTAGATTCTCGCCTACGAGGGTGGGCAGAAAGTAATAATTTGCTGTCCGACTATCAATTTGGTTTTCGTAAAGATAAAAGTACTATAGACTGTATTTTTGCTCTTAACTCAATAATAAATAAAGTAATAAAAAATGAAAATAAAACATTATATTGTGCATTTATTGATTTTCGTAAAGCTTTTGATGTTGTTTATAGGAATGGTATATGGTTAAAACTAATAAAACACGGAGCGTCTTCTAGAATTGTAAATATGTTAAAAGTCATGTATGAAAATGTTAAAACATGTGTAAGAGTAAATGGCTCCTTAAGTGAATTTTTCGATTGTAACACAGGCGTTAAACAAGGAGAACCATTATCTCCTCTGTTGTTTATATTTTTTATTAATGATATGTATGACTTTTTATACGATGACAATATAGATTTTTTCTCTATGGAAGATTTAAAATTATTTCTTTTATTGTTTGCTGATGATACTGTGTTGTTCTCATATACAAAAGAAGGATTACAAATATTATTAGACAAACTACATTTATATTGTCAAAACTGGGGAATAACTGTTAACCCCGACAAGTCAGTTGTAATGATATGTAAAAAGGGCAATAGACCTTCAAATGATGTTTTTCTTTACGATAATAAAATTCTTAATATTGTTAAAAACTTTGTATACTTGGGTGTAACAATTTCATCAAACGGTAGCTTTAATCAAGCACAAAAATGTTTATCTGAGCAAGCCTTCAAGGCTTTATATGCACTCAACTCGCTTTTTGATAACTTGTCATTGAATGTTTCTGAAAAAATTAAACTGTTTGATTCTATGATAATGCCTATTCTTAACTATGGGTCTGAAATATGGGGCTTTCATAATTCACCAGATATTGAGCGAGTTCATAAAAAATTTATGAAGCAAGTTTTAGGTGTTAGACAACAAACATGCAATGCTACCGTATATGGTGAATTAGGTAGAGTTCCCCTTCTTGTTTTACGTAAGATTAGTATTGTAAAGTTTTGGTTTAGAACTGCTAAGAATCCAGATTCATTTTTGTATAAACTTATGATGATGACAGATAATAACAATCAGTTTGTTAATAAATGGACCAATGATGTAAAATGTCTCCTTCAAGACTTAGGCTTTTCTTACTTATTTGATAACCCACATTCTATTTTTCTTAAGTCTATTATCCAACGTATATATGATCAATATTATCAACAATGGTTTTCTGAAATTAATAATTCTAGCAAACTTGATACGTATAGTTTAATAAAAAGCACGTTTGGAAAAGAGAAGTATCTTGATTGTATTATAAATAATAAATATAGAATAGCCCTTTCACGTTTTAGATGTTCTGCTCATAAATTAATGATTGAAGAAGGAAGATTTAGAAATATTGAAAGAAATCAACGATTTTGTTTAAAATGCAATATGAATGTAGTGGAAACGGAATATCATTTTTTACTTGCTTGTCCGTATTACATTGATCTACGAAGAGAATATTTACCTAAATACTACTGCTCTTGGCCAAATGTACACAAATTTAAAATGTTAATGAATAACTCACAACAGAATGTTATAAAGAAATTATCTCAATTTATTTACTATGCAACTTTAGCTAGAGAAACAACTGGTAGCTAATTCCAACTAATTTCAAACATTAATTATAATAGTCTTAATATTTATTTCATGACTGTGATATTATATATGTAATATTACTTTTCTCGTATTTAGATCTTTTATGCATTTGTTAATATGTTTATATGTATGTATACACGCCATTATTGTTTATGGCAATAGACATTATGTTTGTGCCTTAATAAAATCTTGAATCTTGAAATCTTGTCAACCTGTATTCAACCATCATAAATTATCACGGACATTTCAGAACGTAAAAGTAACATTTTATTAAACAAATCTAATCTAAATGTAATTTAAGACACATTTAAATTTATGTTTAAAGGTAAATATTCTTTCGTCTTAAAACCCGATTTTTAACTCGTCGTTTCGAAGAAAAAGTCGTTATATCACGACAAATGGCAGATGTGTGATTATGGGCATTATATTAATCTGAAAGCTTTAATTTTAGGTTATGCACCTTTGAAACTATGACTGTTTTGTTATTTGTAGGATTATTTCAAAACTGTCAAAGATATCAACATGAGAATTGTTATACTTGATTATGATGACAAGGCACATTTGTAAGATAATAGACAGTATCCTGGACGCAACCTATAAAATAATTATATAGGTTTATCAAAATGTTTTCTCCTTTATATATATAACATTCTATTGACAGGGTTAACACTTTACAGTCGAGCTTTCATGTGTGTCGGTGCTATTGTTTGGGAGAGGTTACACCGCTGTTAAAATATGTCTTTACTCTATTCATGAATTTCTTATTACTTCAATGATATGAAAATAATTTGTATACCTAGCTTGTTATTAAATATTAAGAGCTACCTTCCAAAAACCGAAACAATGGTGAAACAGGTTTTGCATTCATTAAGATTCAATTGAACAGAGAAGGTCTTTATTGCTCAGCAAATCTTAGTGTAATTATAATTTTCAAGAACTAACCGATTCCAATTTTTCAAGTTGGACATTCAATAAGTTATCAACAGAAGAACAAAATGTCATCTGGTTTGTATCAGGGTGCAGAGGAAAACCCAACCCCATCCAGATGAAAGAAACATCTATTCTTTTTTAGAAAATGAGCGTGAAAATGAATGTGTAAATTCTAAAAGCGAGACTGTAAAATTTATTTCCAATTCAATTGTTTGACTTTAAAAGTATATGCAGATAGTGCGGTAACCTGGATATATATCAAGTTTTCTATACATTGAATGCATTGGGTAAACGACTTTTTTTCAAACAAATTTATAATAAATCAAAGGGCTGCAAGGTCTGTTGTATTTTCTTATCTTTGCAATCTAAATGTACTGTATATCTGTATGTATTTTCCTGTATAAGTTTGATACATACGACATTTCGCATATTCATATTAACTTGAGTTGCATCAAAAATCATTGATGTTCATTTTTTATGACAGCCATACTTTATACTTGCATATAGTTGCTACTTCCTTAACAAAGACGCTTAAAATAGTTGCCTCGACTGGGATTTGAACCCCTCAACCTCAGACCTCTCACACACTAAACTAGCGCGTTACCTCTGCACCACGGAGAAGTTATACGAACAAAGCCTGAATACAATTAAGTGATTCTAAATCTAAAATTTCCATTACATTTCGGGTTTGTAATCCTTACTAATTTCGAGGTATTTTATTCACGATAAACCTGTTGTTAAAAATTAATGTAAATAATTTAGAGAAAATCTTCTCACCCAAACAGTCCGACATGAACAATCTATGTATTCCACTACTCGACAGTCAGATTTATTTGTGTAGCATTCGGTTATCAATATCGCTAAAAATAGCTTTTTCATTGATTAAAATTATATTCATCCGCGTAATTTGTTATTGTGCATTTATTGACAATTCTTTAAACCAACGCTACTTTTAAACTTTGAATGCGTTGTAATTTGTTGGATACTTGTAACAAAATAAAAAAAAATCTTTTTTTAAATCGCTAGTTTTAAGCTGTTTTGAGAACTACTTGTTGTTAGGTTTGTCGTTAACCACTGTGTCAGATATTGAATGTAAGCTTTGTATTTCCTAATCTTCGACCAGAAACTACAAAAGGGTCTTTCAGATACCCTGCTTAAGTTTGATAAAAGGATTAAACAATAGGCGAATGTTGTAACATGGAAAAAAAATATGATAACCAATGTTTTTAAGTTTAAACCTAAACTTACAGATAACATGGTAAATCAAAATACATATTTTTTCTGTTTAATTAATTATCGAAATATTTCTAACTAAGTTCGTCAATATTATTTTGCATTTTGTCAAAATATAGCTCTAGAAACAAAGTTCGACCCACCTCGGGGCAATTGGTTTTCGTAATATAAAATTTTATATAAACACTTAATACATGATCTTCCCTGAATCCTTAAAGAATAGACCTTAGATATTTAGCATGGCGTATCTGCTAGCGGACCTCTACCAAGATTGTCCAAATTATCACAGTGGCGACATTGGGTTGCCTTATGTTAATTGTCCTTATAGCTAAAATCTTCCACGTTGATCTAAAAGTTTTGAAAATAATCATTAAAATTCGTAAAGTCTTGTGCCTAGTGAAAAAGATATTCATAAACATCATGTAACTCACATTTTTTATGGTTTTATATAACAAATATGATGCTCAAATGAAGATCTACAAATAGTGTAAGTTCCGAAAAGCGCTATTTGTAAAGATATTACCGAATTTACATTTCATGTAAGTAAAGGCAGGTAATTAGAAATTTATTTGCGATAAAATCTTAGCCAAAATTTGAGATAATAAATGAATGCATGTATTTTTAATGATAACTTTTAATGCGTATAAACATTTTCAGTACATATTTAACATTGTCTTTGATGTTTGGAAATTTTATTAAAAGAATAATTATATACATATATAAAATTTCACTTAAATGTTGTTACATCCTTTATTACAATATACAGGATCTTTAAAATTAAAACGTAAATGGAGCCTGTTATATCAAATTTAAAGAAATGCAGTTTTATTTTCTGATATCTAGACTGGTATTGATTGAATGTTATTAAACAGACATGACAATGAAAGCAGAACTATGGCTGTTATCATGTCTAAAACTATATCAAAATGATAAAGGGTTAAATGTATCAGCTGGAATAACTAATCCGTGTTATATATACCATTTTGGTCGTTTCTCAATATCATTTTAACGACGTTTTTTGTCATTAACGATGATTTTGATGATTTAAGCTTCCAAATTAAAACGATCATGAACAGCATTAAAATGTTAAGAATCTTATTTCATTTCATTAAGTCGGAATAAATGTTACTACGACTTTATATACGACCAAATTCTAATATACATTTATGGCATTACACTCTTATACATCGTTTATAAAAAAAATACCAGCGGTGCAATCCAATGTCTTCTTATAACCAGCAGCACATCCATCTTGACAATATCCATTCACATGGTTACACGGTAAGGTTAAACATTTCCCACAATCAGTTGTACAGTTTATGCCCCATTTACCATCGTCACATTCTGTAAATATGTTTACTATTTTATACAAAATGTAAACAAAATAGGGGACCGGTAATATATGTGATTGTACTTTAACTAGATTGTATATTGTGAAAGCATCATTAATGTAAACAAAGTATCGCGTTATGAATATCGCACAGTATTTTGAAATGTATTAATTACATCGAATATCTAAATAATATTAAAAATAATATGCATTACAAGCGATTTTTTATAAACTATGTGATATATCTCTTTACATACACATGTGCACGAACGAACTTCCTACGACTTTAACCCATTACCTGATAAACACGCCTTTTAACGCCCTTTTATCCCCCTTTTTGTTGTCACAAATGGTGAAAAAATGCCTTATTTAGGCCACCATCACTTGTTTTTGCTTGAGAAACGTTGTTTTAAAAAGTGACCACTTTTTCGGCGCTGCCAGAAGGGGATGTTCCCCTTTCTGTTCTTGGGTTTGAAGGGTGGCGGCAACACCCCCCCCCCCACCCCCTCATCGCCAAGAAAATTTTGGACTTGTGAGAGGCTAAAAATATAATCCCAGGCTGATCATAAGGAAATGTGTATCCAACGATGAAAAGCCCTTGACTCTATCTCTATCTCTTGAGAAGTTGCAGCACTTTGAAATCAATTTTGATGGAAAAAGTCATCGCAAAATAGTGATTTTTGGCAATTTTGAGATGTCCCCCGTTGGTATGGTAACGGGAAATTTAAGACTGAGCATGTTATAACCAAGGCAATGGTCCAGTCAACATTTGTGCCAAGTGTGATTAGTATTGAAGCAGTTTTCATAGTTTTATAGCAATTTAACTTGTAACGGAAGACTATTCAATGAAAACAGTCTTTTTTCACAAAATGATATCATACAATTCTGCAATATGGCACATAACTAAAACGTTTGCATTTATTACTGCCGTACGCGTCTATGAACAGACATCAACCAGGTTCAGTCAAACTAAACCTGGACCATTATGCATTTCGCCGTGTTTGAAGTGTATTAAAACGATCCTGTATATCATTGAAATGTTAAAAATCTTATTTCATTTCAGTTCATTAACTCGGAATATATGTTACCACGACTTTATATACGACTGATTTCTGATATACATTTATGTCTTTTATAAAAAAATACCAGCTGTGCAATCCCGTGTCCTCTTATAACCAGCAGCACATCCATTTTTGCAATGTCCATTCACATTATTACACGGTGAGGTGAAACATTTCCCACAATCATTTGTACAGTTTATGCCCCATTTACCATCGTCACATTCTGTAAATATGTCAACTTTTTTATACGAAAGGAAAATAAAATAGAGGAAAGGTTATATATATGATTATACTTTAACTAGATTGTATATTGTGAATGCCTCATTAATGTAAACAAAGTCTCGCTTTATAAATATCGCACATTATTTTTAAAGTGTATTAATTATATCGAACATCTAAATAATATTAAAAATAATATGCATTACAAGCAGGTTTTTATTAACTATGTGATATTGCTCTTTTCATCCACATTTGCACGACCTTCCCACGATATCACACAATTCTGAAATATGGCACATTATAACAACGTTTTGCATTTATTACTGCCAAACACGTCCAAGAACAGGCATCAATCAGGTTAAGTCAAATCAAACCTGTATCATTATGCATTTTGATGTGTGTGCACTTCCAAGTGTTCACAGATCACTATTTTTCACATTTCGGGATTAAATGGTTGCACTGAGAATTATATTAAAGCAAAGCGTATAAATTCAATCTCCTTTTTATGTTCCGTTTAATTTAATGTTATAAACAGACACGATAATGAAAACAGAACTATGGCTGTAAACGTATCTAAAACTATATCAAATTGAAAAAAGTTAAATGTATAAGACGCAATAACTAATCTGTGTCAAACATATTATTTTGTTTGTTTCTCAAAATCATTTTAGCAACGTTTTTCGTCATAAACGTTGATATTGATAATGTAAGCTTTCAAATTAAAACGATCCTGAACAGCAATGAAATGTTTAGAATCTTATTTCAGTTCAGTAACTCGGAATGAATGTTACCATGATTTCAGATAACCATTTATCACTTTACATTCTTATACGTCTTTTATAAAGAATACCAGTGCGGCAATCCAATGTCTTCTTATAACCAGCAGCACATCCATCTTTGCAATGTCCATTCACATGATTACATGGTGAGGTTAAACATTTCCCACACTCATTTTTACAGTTTATCCCCCATTTACCATCGTCACATTCTGTAAATATGTTATCTATTTTATACAAAAGGAAAATAAAGTAGAGGACAGGTAATATCTGTGATTATACTTTAACTAGATTGTATATTGTGAAAGCCTCATCAATGTATCACATCTTGACTTATAGTTTGAAGGTACATATTCTCTCGAGAAGAGTTTGAAGATTCAAATTCATGTCCCGACTGAAAATTTGTCATGCATAGAAGGATTTTAAAATAACGCAAATGTCTACTACGTGACAACATTCTGTCGCATCCAAAAACCACGCCCCTTCTTCAAAGGTCAAGGTCACACTTATATTTTGAAGGGTCACGCTATCGCAATTACAGATTATAGGTAACAATAATACAAAGAACAATACAAAAGCAATTTGTTACTTTCATTCTATTTTCTTTTCATAACACCTGCATGCTTAAGAAATCTTTTCGGGGGGCATTCGTCACTTGATTATTATTTACTATGTGCTATTACTCTTAACATTCAAATGCGCACAAACGTCCTACGACCTTTATATATAAAACGATTCTACAATATGGCACATAACCCAAACGTGTGCCGTCCAAGAACAGACATCAATCTGGTTCAGTCAAACCGGACCTGAATCATTATGCATTATGAAGTGTTTGACGACCCTATCAAAGTTTTTACAATTAACTGTTCACATTTTACATTTCGGGCTTAAATGGTTGCAATAAGAACTATCTTCAAAAATTGCGTGTTAATCCAACCCCTTTTTATGTTCAGTTTCAAAGGACAAGCAATTGACAAAGACATTTAACCATATGCATTTAACCATAAAAAATTATATCGGAGATTTGAGATGTAGAAATACATTTTATAAAACAAATACAATCTTAATCAATATTAACACATATTTTAATTCATGTGATAATGTTAAAGTTTGAAACCGATTTTGAACTCGATTATTCCTGGGAAAGAGTCGAGATAATAGTGAAGCTCATTACTAAAACTTTTTTAAAGGTAAATTAAATATGATACTTGGAATACATGTTAATCCCGACAAGAGACAGATGTCAGATAAAGGGCATTATTCTGAAAGCTATAATTGTGTGTCATGAACTTTTTAGCACATTTAGATTTTTTCTTGTAAACATTGAATATAATTAGTGGAATCATTTCATATAAGCTAGAATCTTGTAATACTTGGTTATCATGGCAAGGCACAGCTGTAAGATAATAGTCAATATCCTGAAGTCAACATATATGTCATTGATATATACTCCTCGTAAAAAGTAATATTTATAACAAATTATTATTGACAGTGGCGAGCGTTCACAGCGCATTAGTGCTTTTGCTTGAGAGAGGTCACACAGCTGTTATAAAAGGTGTCGTCATTATATTCATGAAGTTGTTCTTGTTTAAAAATGAAAATAATTTATAGACATTGCTAGCAATCTATTAAATATTAAGAGGCGTCCGTGGCCCAGTGGTTAAGGTCGTTGACTTCAATCCACTGCCCTTCACCGCTGTGGGTTCAAATCTCGACAGGGACTTAGGATTATTTCATGTAAGGAAGCACTCCAGCTAGCTTACGGAACGTCAGTGGTTCTACTCAGATGCTAGTTCGTGCCTGAAGTAAGGCACGGAAAGGCACCGGAGGTCTTCCTCCACAAGAAAAGCTTGAACGTCGCCATATGACCTATACTGTGTCGATATGACGTAAAACCCAATCAACCAAAGAAACAAAATATTTAGAGTTGTCTTCCAAAAACCTGAACAGTGCTGTTATATTTTGTATTCATTTTATTAAAGATTAAGTCGAACAAAGAAGGTCTTCATAACTCAGCATATCTAAGTGCAATTATAATTTTCAAGAAACATCCATGTTTTGTTTTAAATCTAAATATTTAAACTTAAAAGTATCGAAAGGTAGTGCGGTAACTGGACTATATGTATTAAACAACCACATTCTCCAGTTTATGCACTGACTGCACTGGGTATACGATTTATATTAAATTTAAAATAATGTTTTATTTTCTGATAACGATGGAACCAACTCGAGATTTGTATTAATTCAATGTTATAAAACAGACACGACAAAACAAGCGGAAATATGTATGTAAACGAATCCAAAGCTTTATCAAGTTGAAAAAAAGCTTAAATGTATTGAACGGAATAACTAATTTGTGTTATATATACCATCTTGTTCGTTTCTCAAAATCATTTTAACAACGTTTTTTTGTCATTATCGTTGCTTGATTTTATAAGCTACCAATTAAAAAATATATTGAACGGCATTGAAATGTTTGAAATCTTATTTCAGTTCATTAACTCGGAATAGATGTTACCACGCATTTACATACGTCTGATGTCAGATAAACATTTATTGTTTTACACTCTAATACATCTTTAATAAATAATACCAGTGCGGCAGTCCAATGTCTTCTTATAACCAGCAGCACATCCATCTTGACAATACCCATTCACATGATTACATGGTGAGGTGAAACATTTCCCACAAACATATGTACAGTTTATGCCCCATTTACCATCGTCACATTCTGTAAATATGTTATCTATTTTATACAAAAGGTAAATAAAATTGAGGAAAGGTTATATATATGATTATACTTTAACTAGATTGTATATTGTGAACGCCTCATTAATTCGAAATAAAGTCTCGCGTTATCAATATGGTATATTATTTTGAAAGTGTATTGTTTTATATCGAATTTCTAAATAATATTTAAAATAATATGCATTACAAGCGGGTTTTTTTTAATTTACTATGTGATATTACTCTTTACATTCACATGCGCGCGAACTTCCTACGACTTTGATATATAATATGGCACATAACTCAAGCGTGTTGCATTTATTAATGCCGTCTTAGAACAGACATCAATCAGGTTCAGTCAATTTTCAAGAACTAACTTATTCAAGTATTTCAAGTTACACTTTGTAAGAAATTCAATAAGTTTTTTTTTTCTCTTTTATTTTTCAATCAAAATATACAAACATTCAAATCATAGTACATGTAATGAATACATAAAAAATAATGTCAATTCAATGTAATCAGATTATGACAAGTATATTTGTATGTTAAGATCTTTTTATAAAAGTTTTTGACAGAAGAAAATGAGTGGTAAGAAAAACTGATAGTACTATAAAGTGCATAGTAAGTATGAAAGAGAGAAAAGAAAGTGTATAAAGAAAGGAAAGATAAATGAAGAATGAGAAGAAAAAAAGAGAGAGAAAAGATAAAGAAATTCAATAAGTTAACGACAGAAGGACTAGTTGTCATCTGGTTTGTATGAGAGTGCAGAGGAACACCCCACCCCATCAAAAGAAACATCGATGTTTTTTTTTTTGAAATTGAGATTAAAGATTTTGGTGAAAATTAATGTGTAAATTTCCAAAGTTCATTTTAGATTTAAATGTTTCAACTGTCTCAACAAGTAGTGCGTAACTGGAATATATGTATTAAACAACCACACTCTCCAGTTTATGCACTGCATTCACTGGGTATACGATTTATATCACATTTAAAGAAATGAAGCTTTATTTTCTGATGATGATGAGATCAACTCGATATTGGTATTAATTGAAATGTAAAAAAAGACAGACACGACAATAAAAGTGAAAATATGTATCTTAAACTATACCAAATTGAAAAAAGCTTAATTGTAACGGAATAACCTATGTGTTATTCGTTTTTACAATTTTGTTTGTTTCTCAAAGTTATTTTAACATCGTTTTTTGTCATCAACGTTGATTAATATTGTAAGTTATCACATAAACCGCGGCACAGTAGTGTAATAAAGCTATTTAATAAAAACGATATTACACTAGTGTAATAGCATTTCGACGTTATATATATAAACATAGCGTTAAAGCGCTTACATTAGCGTAACACTATAGGCGTATCAATGAAAATGACTCTTTTTGATAGTTTACCGTCCTTATTTTATATATGTGATAAATAGAATAGTATATGCGTGACGATTTAATACTAAATTCATTGAACTCGCTGAATAAAATAATATGAGTCGCGCCACGACAAAACCAACATAGTGGGTTTGCGACCAGCATGGATCCAGACCAGCCTGCGCATCCGCGCAGTCTGATCAGGATCCATGCTGTTCGCTGTCAGTTTCCTCACTTGTAATAGTGTTGGTAAGCGAACAGCATGGATCCTGATCAGACAGCGCGGATGCGCAGGCTGATCTGGATCCATGCTGGTCGCAAAACCCATTATGTTGGTTTTGTCATGGCACGGCTCATATTATGATCGCCAGAGGCTCGCATAATGTGATTTCATTTAACTGGTTCAAATAATTTAGTATTAGATCTACACTCATTTAATACCCTCTATGTACCAAATTAAAGCGATCCTAAACAGCATTAGAATGTTTAAAATCTTATTTCAGGTCATTAACACGGAATAAATGTTACTACGATTTTATATACGCCTGATTTCAGCTTTACACACTTATACATCTTTTATAAAGAATACCAGTGTGGCAATCCCTTGTCTTCTTATAACCAGCAGCACATCCATCTTGGCAATGCCCATTTAAATGATTACATGGTGAGGTTAAACATTTCCCACAATCATGTGTACAGTTTATGCCCCATTTACCATCGTAACATTCTGTAAATATGTTAATTATTTTATTGAAAACGTAAATAAAAAAGAGTAAAAAGATAATATATATGATTATACTTAACTAGATTAAATATTGTGAAAGTGGCATTAATTTAAAGAGTCTCGCGGCATAAATATCGCACATTATTTTGAAAAAGTATTGTTTTATGTCGAATATCTAAGTAATATTGATTAATTATTAATTATGTAATGTTAATCTAAACATTAACATACGCTAGAACTTCCTACGACTTTAAGAGATAATACAATTATACAATATGGCACATAACTATAAAGTGCTGCATTCATTACTGCCGTGCAAAAAAGAGTCAACAATAAAGTTTATAGCAGACCTGGATCAGTTTGCGTTTCACTAAGTTATCGACCCTTTCAATAATTCAAATTTCACTATTTTCACATTTCGGGCTCAAACGATTGCATGGAGTAAAATAAGCTTCGACAAGTCAATATATGTTCAATCTCCTTTTAGGTTTAGTTTCAAAGAAAAAAACCCAAACAAATGACATATTCATGATCAGATATTGACTTATAATATGAAACTTTGTACATGATCGGTTAAAGTTTAGACAAGACAATATTTAAGTGTTTCTTCGCTTTGATATGCACTGATTGTTTTGACCCAAAGCAAATAATCAACAAACGTCAATAATTTTAAAAACGTACAGTTAGATACTAGACAGATATTTTCTGTAGTTACTTATTTTGGAGTAATTCTTAAAATATAAAATACTCCACTTGAGTCAGTAGTAACTATACGAAATGCAGTCAGAAAAAAACGTCGACATTCAGTACATATATAATCTAAATAAGACTTGCACAAAATGCATGATACTAGGGCATTTCATTACAAACCGCAGCGAAATTTGTGCTACATCTTGATATAAAAGATACAAAATATAAAAAAAAATCCTTTTGTAGCTTATGGAGTAGCCAGCATAAAAATCATAGTCTTTAATGTTTATAAAATTTTGAATCTTTTTTATTCAATTAACATGCGAATGTGATAGCGGTACGGACTGAAGCTCGCACTTACCACCTCAGTCAATGATTAGGCGCTATGAAACCGAGCCTTCATTACGTTTAATTTTGTCGTTTCAGGTGTTCTTTAAGTATTCAGTTATTTCTATTTAACAAATTTGCTCAATACTCACTTTAAGACAATTATCGTACGAGTCATGAACAGACATCACTAGAACACCCAGCTTGGTTTTGATATAAAATGACTTAAAATAGCTATTGATATTAGAAATTGTTAAATATAAAACATGGTAAGACAGGTAAGATTTAACATTTTCAAAATAAGAAATAAGATTAAAACAGCATACTTATGTTACAATGGGATCCTTGATATCCACCTTTGCAACCATTCAAGCATGTGCCGTCCACGTTATTGCATATTTCATTCACCCCTGACCTTAAACAGTTGCTGTTGCATTTATTCTGACAGTCTTTGCCAAAAGTACCATTATTACACTCTGGAAAAAAGATTGTTTTCCAACATTTTCTTTCCTTTGACTTTAAAATATATACAATAATTTACCAACCTGCATTTTACTATCAAAACTATCGCCGACATTAGAGAACACAATAGTAACATTTTATCAAAACAAATTCAATCTTAATTTAATTGAAGACACATTTAAAGTCGTGTTTAAATGTATTTATTTAACGCTTTCTTCTTAACATCCGAATTTTTACTCGTCTGCTCCGAAGAAAACTTCGAGATATCATGCTTGTTACGTCGTCGTCGTTGTCGTCTTCTAAAGATTTTAGTGTAGCTCATTACTTAAACAATTTTTAAGATATCAATATGAAATTTGGAATGCTTTTTATTAATACAAGAACTTTAAGATAAAGGGCATTATTCTGAAAACTATTTTTTAGTGTTATGCACCTTAACTAATAACTAATATTATTTTGTCAAAATTGCTTATTACTTTGTAGGATTATTTTAAAACTATCAAATTTATGAAATTGAAACATGTGAGACTTAATAATCATGACAAGGCACAGTTGTAATAGTCAGTATCCTGAAACAACATATATTTCTCATTTAGATATTCTCCTGAAAATATATAATATTTATAGAAAAAATAGTTCAACCAGTTGACCAGACACCAATTTTCTTTTTGAGTAACAGTGACCTTGACCCTAGCTGGCCGAAAAACCATGTCAAGTGAGATCTTTGAAAAAGCTTAATTTACACAAAGTTTCACTGAAATATTTTATTCCAAACTCTACTTATTGACCAGAAACCTATTTTTATTTTTAGTAACAGAGACCTTGAACTTGACTCTAGGAGGCTCAAAAGCAATCGAAAGCAAGGTCTATACATGAGTTTGCTATACATAGAGTTTAATTGAAATATTTCATTTAGGTACTGACTGGCTAGGCAGCCCTGATGATGAGATTTGTTTGCCTTTTAAGCAATCACTACGTACTAGGGCTCTAACTCCCTAGTACCCTTCCCTTTTGTCCTTGCATACCATATATTGTCATCTCCCTTGAATTAAATCAATACATTTGCAGCTGGCTCGTAGTGCGAGAAGGCTTATTTCAAACTCCTTCAAAAGTGATAGTTTGATTTCCTCTGTATGCCAAAACAAAGCTCGGATTTTACTATGTCCTTGGTGAACAATGTTCGGCCACGTTCCAAATTTCATGCATTGTCTCTTCTGCGTGGATGAGAAAAAATCCGAAATAATCAAGTAGAGCAGGGTTTTACCCCTGCCCGTTACAAACGACATCTATAATAAGGTAGGGGACCTAACAAACAACACACTTTCTTCAAGACATCACGATATATTTTCGAATATTCATGACAGTAGCGTCGTCGCCTGATACTATAATGTAACTTTATATGTTACTTTTAGGCCAGGCATTTTAGCCAAAAAAATTAGACTCAACCTAATGGGGATTTGGGAATTCTTTATCTCTTTATATCAGCTTTGTTATTGCCGTGTTGAGGTTGTAAAAAGTCGCCCGCACATTCAATCAGGGATGTTATATTTCCGAACCTTACGGATCGTTTAGCACAACATTATTGTTGTGTTTGTGTAATTTTACGTCTTTTCATTCGGCTATTTTTTGTTGGGTGATTCCATTATGATTCCTAACTTGAATACTGTTGAATCACCCTTAGGATATGTGATCTGCTTTTTAAATTTGTCTTATGATGTATTATCCGTGATATGCAGGCTTTATAACCTCTGATCCACTTTAAAAATAACATTTTATTTAGTTCCGTCTATTGTTTTTTGTTTGTTTTTTTTTCGTTTAGGGCAAACGCATTTTTTACTTGGGGACCATATGCCGCTTTTCATGGAATGACACACTAACGTGTCTCATTGAAGGTTCGCTGGTAACCGCCATATGAACACATCTGCTGATGTTTCAAAATTATATCTCTCTATACTAAAACAAATTCCTTCATAAAAGATGATTTCATATTTGTTATCTACAATATATATATGTGATGCTACAAAAAGGTCTTTAAAATGTGAAGTATAAAATTGCTCAAAATGTCATGTTTTTGAACCAAATGATTTTTCAATTTGTCAAATCTATGAAATAAGACTGGATATTATGGTATTAAATAGTTAAATAAAGTAACACATTTGTACACATTTTATTTTAAATAAAAGATTTAAAAGAAAGATGATAATATTACAAAAGTTGCAACACTGGATAAATCATTCTTTAAACCAATACCCCACCCACTTATGCTAAAACTATTTCTTCTAAGGTTTTTTGTTAGGTACTGTGAAATAGTCTATAAATTAGCAGTATAATTCACCTAGGTTTCTGAAACGTTCGTAAATTATTTTATAGTTAAAATTGCAGTATATTATACAACTGTTATACAAATGTACATGAAACATTATGTATTTGTGTTGCTATTTGTTTACAAAATGCATTTACATACTCATATGTGATATATTTATGTTAATTTTGAATAACATTTTAAATAGTGCATATTTATAACTTTTTATTGTACAAACATTCAACAATAATTACATTATCTAAGTGACATACTAAGATGATTACCAACTTTGTCCCTTATATTGTCAAAATTGTACTGTACATTAAATGTGACAGGCAAAGCAAACTATACAACTGTTTCAATACTTGTTTAGAGTTCCTTATTTATCTGAAATGCTAATTTATTAACACAGTTTACTCAGAATTTTTCCGTAGTCAATAGTATGTGTATTACTACAGACGGTTGCCTGACATTCCGAACAACACACATAGCATGAAAGTCCATGTTCGAAGAAAGCATGAATAAAAAGTTAACGTCTGCACGTATCACTTACAAGAACTGCTTTCGTGTTCTGAATGTCCCAAATCTTATTCTTTTTAAAGCTGGTCTTTGTGTCTGATATGTAAAATATGTTTTCTTTGGAAGTATCAACATGATATCATAGCAGAATCAATGTTTGTGTACATTCACATTTAAGTACTGTCGTTTTGTTATTTGCTTTCATAATTGCAGTCTGAAAGATTTGAAGATCTGCATCCTCTGAGGCATTTGTTACATGATTTATCCTTTTCTCCGGTGTTAATGTATCAATTCTTTAGAAGGATCGTTTACGTAGCCATCAAATACAATGTTAGCACAGCCATAATGTAACTGCTCTATCGTTGCATATTGTTTATAAATATCATGGAAAGCCGATCCATATATCCAAATAAATTGCTGGACTAATGACCGTCCGTCCAGGACGTAACATACGTTGTCCTCTGACACTGGTGATGGTCCGCATTGTCCGAGTTTCGAAATGGCGTTAGCCAATGCTGACTTGTGTGCCTCTTGCAATAGACCGGATATGTCAAACAGTGAAAAGGGATGGCTAGATAGATAAGAAATACTTCTTTATTCTGTCAATTGAATCAATTGAAAGCAACTGTCAATAACAGCTGGAATAATAATTGTTGGCAACATGTTTATCATCTCCACCAACTTTTATCATGTTATTTTTTTGTACCAAGTTTTATGGTCTGTTGGTTTCTGTCATTTCTTTGAAACTATTTTGTCCAATATCTACGACTCGGTCGACATTGACACTAGTCTCGGTAACAGACCCAGTTTCAATATTTCAAAGACACTATTGATTCAAAAAAGGGTTGCATTCTCTTTCAGAAAATCTAAGAATATTCCTCTATTCTTTTTATTCCTGCTTCTCATAGCTTCAGTTCGTTATGTTGTTCATTGCTTTCATAAGTCTGCCCCGTGAAGTCTTGCATCGCGTTGTTTATCTCAGCACACGCAGGCATCGAAAGAAGACACTGTGTCCTCTGTGCCTATGTCATACCGCGACCTCTCGTCATACCTGTAAAGGACTTAACACTCCTGATCAGTATTTGTTCAATAAGAATGTCTGGTGATAATCCTGCCCAGTATCTATCACTTCGTCTAATCACATGCAATTCTGAGTCTGCAATTCTCTCGTAATTTTGTTGTGATTAATGCTTCCGAGGGATCACTTTGTTTCCAGATTTTTATACTTCACAACAGCAGGTGTCAAGTGCTGTGTGGCAGCTGTAAAATGTTGCCCCGTACTTCACTTCAGTGTTGTTATATTTTTCTGGTCCTTCGGGATCATTGATGCCAGCACTATTAAGTGTTGAGAATTGAGTACCGCTCAAGCCGGTGCTAGGGGGCGTGAGGGATGTTGCACGTATTCATTATCCCTTATGTACAGACTCAATCAAACCGAGTCTGCAATTCTCTTGTAATTTTGTTGTGATTAATGCTTCCGAGGGATCACTTTGTTTCCAGATTTTTTATACTTCACAACAGCAGGTGTCAAGTGCTGTGTGGCAGCTGTAAAAAGTTGCCCCGTACTTCACTTCAGTGTTGTTATATTTTTCTGGTCCTTCGGGATCATTGATGCCAGCACTATTAAGTGTTGAGAATTGAGTACCGCTCAAGCCGGTGCTAGGGGGCGTGAGGGATGTTGCACGTATTCATTATCCCTTATGTACAGACTCAATCAAACCGAGTCTGCAATTCTCTTGTAATTTTGTTGTGATTAATGCTTCCGAGGGATCACTTTGTTTCCAGATTTTTTCTAGTCCCCTTCCCCACATCCCTTTAAGTTTGTAGGCCTAGAAATTAATCGTCTCTTTAATTTCATGGTCGGTTCTGTTGTTTCCTATTATTTATTATTATAGTAATCACCCTGTCCGTGCTTTGCCCTGTACCCTGTCCTGTTTTATTTGGGTACTGCTGGGCTCCTTGCCGGAGGTCCTGTATTGCTGGGTCGCGTGGGGGTTGTGTTCATTGTACGACGCCCTTCCTTGTTGTTCTTGTTTTTCATATTTAATCTACATTTGGGTGTGTATCTTCCAGGACAAACATATCTTGAAGGTACACGTATCCAGATTTCAGGTACTGATTATGTTCTGGTGCTACAAAGAAAGGTAGCATTTTCTGTATTGATTCACAGTGGTTGTTCCAAACCCCGTTCTT